TTTCTGTCAGCGGTGGTAAAAAAAAGCCCACAGCCTTATCTCAGCCTTATCGCTCCGGTTCAGCATTTATGTAACAGTAAAAATAATAGATGCAATATCACATCTCCAGCCTGTTCTCTGTATAAATGGTACTGGGATGTGTTTGGAGCCTCTGTAGGAGGTGGCTACCACCATCAGCTGTGGAGGGTTCCAGAAGAGTTCCAACAAATCATCATGGGTGGGATGGGGATGTTTGGGACCCACAGTGACCCCTTGTTTATGTTGTAGGATTCTCCATAGGTCCCATCTTGGCTCACCCCAAGGAACCACGTCCATTTGGGGACCCAGATTTGGGATATTCAGCATGAGGTGCTCATCCTCCTACTGGACACCTCCTATTCTCTGCCTCAGTTTCCCTTCCCCAGGGGCAGCCTTGGGAAGGGTCTGCGGATCCCAGGGCTGTTGGACACAAAGGCAGATTTGGGAAGGAACCAGGGGGTCCCCAGACTGTTGAACATGTGGGTGGATTTGGGAAGGGACCAGGGGGGCTGGAAATTGCACTGGGATGGGGCTGATTCTTGGGTGGGCGCACCCATGGGTGCTTGGGTTGCATCCTGCCCACACGCCGGGCTCCTGGGGCTCAGCGTCTAGACAGCTGGGGCTGCTGCCATGTTCCCATGGCAACGCAGCGGGATGCGGCGCCTGGCAAAATTAAATAAATAACAGAGCAGAAAAAAGGGTTGGCAAAAGACAGCAAAGGCTGGCCAAAGGACGTGGGGGCTCAGCGGGTGATGGGAAGCCCCGGGGAGACCCCACACCCCTTCATGTGTCCTCATATTTTCATCCCATTGGGTTTTCCTAAGGATGCCAAGCTGGAAGTGAAGGGATTTGAGGACAGAAAAATCTCAGTGAGGGCTTTGCTGGGGTAACAAAGCCTGTGCCTCCATCCTGGGGCACATCCTGCCCGCGGGGCAGCTCAGCCCTGCCCATGTGTGGGAGTGTGGCGATGGCTCCTTTAATTTATTTTCATCTGTGCCACCTCCTGCAATTTTGCAAAAGATTTTGCAAGTTGGAAGTAGGTCAAGAACTTGTTTCCAAGTCATTAAATGAAATCCCTGGGTTCGCAGCGGTATTTGCACCTCGTTAATAGTCAATTCGCTCACTTGCCGTTAATTTAAATAGCAGCCAATTTCCCTAAGTGGAGATGTGCATCTCCTGGGTGCAGGTGCTTTCGAAGCTCAGGGCACCCAGTGCAGGGTGCTGTGCTCCAGGGCAGGATCCAGCCCAGGCTCCATCCCCACTGTCATGTCCCACCCCTAAGGGGAGGGAAAGAATAGCCATTCATCTTTCCCTTCCTCCCTTCATCCCCTCCTCCACCCCTCCATTGCTCTCTCCATCTATCTTTCTATCGCTCCGCCCTTCCCTTCCTCCATCCTTTCCTCCCTTTGTCCATCCATCCATCCATCCTTCCATCCCTGCATTTCTTTCTCCATCCTTCCTCTATCTATCCTTCCATCCTTCTCTTTCTCAATCCCTTTCTCCCTCCATCCCTCCATCCTTCTATCCCTCCATGTCTCCCTCCATCTCTCCCTCCACCCATCAATCCATTGGTCCCACATGCCCTATTACCCTCAGCACCACCTTCCTGGAGCCACAGTGCCACCACCTTCCCAGGTGGCTCAGACAAATGTCCTCTCCCTCAGGACACCCCACAGATCCTGCCCCACATTTCTGACCATTGAGTTTCCCACTGGACCCCAGGATTTCTTATAAAACCTCCCAGAAATGGTGCATTTCTGGCAGCAAGGAGCCCCGGCTGTGAGAGCTCAGCAGGAGCTGCACTCGCAGCATCTTTGGCCTCAGCAGAAGGGAATCCGCGATGGAAAAAAATCTATTCAAACGCAGCTAAATGAAAGTAAATCCCTGGTGAGCCGGCGGCATATGGTGTTCAGAAGGAAATAGCCTGGCTGAAGGATAATGGCTCATCGGGGGGCATGGATCCACGCTCAGCTCCTGCCACGCTGTGGGGCTGGGCAGGGATTTGTGCTGGCGTGCAGCTGCTGTGGCATCAAGCAGGGCTGCATTCTGCTCCACCGTCTGCTCAGTCACTGCTGCAGCCCCAGAGTTGGGCTGTGCATCAGTACCTGGCCAAACACTGCTTTGGAATCATCAGTCCTCAGTGCTAGATTGAGGTTAGGCATCTCCTGCAGCGTTGCCCTTTTGGGGTTTCACCCCTCTGCTCTCTTTCTCCCTGCAGACTCCATGCTGTGGGGACCACCTGTAGGGATGTGGGATGAGATGTGGGCACCACCCCACCCCCTGAGTCCTCCTGGAGAGTCTAACCTTGGGTTCTCTCCAGGGGTCCACCACCAGTCTTGGAGTCCATGGAGTGATGGAAGGACTCAGCATCCTTCACTGGTCCCAGGGGCAGGGCTGGAGCCTTGTGCCTGGTGGGACTACAGCCATGCTGGGGAGACAAATGCCAGCAGCAAGGACCAGTGAGGTCCCTTCTTCACCTTCAGCCGTGCCCAGTTGGTATGGGATGCTGTACTAGGATGCAGTACCTGGATGCCATAAGGGGATGCCATACCAGGATGCTGTGATGGGATGCCATTCTAGGTTGCCGTATTGAGATGCAAATACTGGGATGCAGTACTGAGTTGCTACCAAGATGCTGTTTTCATGGGATGCTGTACTGGGATGCAGTACCAGGATGCAGTACTGGGATTCTGTACCAGGATGCCATAGTGGGATACCGTACTAAGATGACATACTGGGATGCTGTGGAATCCTGCTCCAGATCTGGGGACTTTTATCTACCAGAAATACCAAGCAAGGGACCAGGATGGGATTCAGACAGTTGGAAAATGGAAGCAAGGGATTTTCCCCCTCCCCACCTCCACAATCACCATTCTGCTGCTGCTGCTTCCCCAGGGAAGTCTCTGGGCTCTGCTGCTCTGACATTCAGAGCCAGGAGGAAGCCTTCCCGTTGCACTTCACAGGGTTTTAACAAAGCCCTGCCAGCAGGTGAAGAGAGCATCTTCTTCCTGATATTTCCCAGAGGGGTAAAGCAAAGATTGGAAGAGATTTCATTTGAGAGGAAGGCAATGCTTGGGTCCCCCAAGTGCCGTGGGGACAAGTGGCACTGGGATGTCCCCCCGCCTGCTCTGCCCTATTGGAGAGATTGGGGATTTATTCAGGTGGGGGTGGCCAAAATCATGGCCTGGAATTCAGGGGTATTGATAGAGATCCAGGGAGAGCAGCTGCGATGCTTTTTGGGGTGTCCACACTCTTCCCTCTCACTGGCCCCATGGGGATGCTCAGGAGGGAGAGGGACAGAGGGACTGTCCCCCCAGCTCCCCTGTGGCCAAGGGGAGGGGGCGAGGAGCCCCCAGCCCTGCTGTGTTTTTTCAGCATGGTAGCTCGCTCCTGTCTCTCTCTACTGGTTAATTATCGAGGCTTTGGGGGCTGTGATAATATATTTATGCATCTGTGTCAGCAAACATGTCAGCCCCATCGCAGCTGAGGCGTGAGGATGGAGCGCGGGGGGGTTGGGGTCTGCAGCCACTGCATGTTGTCTCCCACATCCCGGGAGGCTCAGCCCCATTTCCCTCTGTTCTTCATGCTTTTTCTGCGTGGGGCAGAAAATCACCCCATAGCTGCCGCCACCACCCCACAAATCCACCAGATTTATTCAATGCTGCTGCAAGTGCAAGGCTGGGAAAACTGCCCCAAATGTTGGCATAGGGCGTAGTGAAGTGACTATGGGGCATAGTGCGATGGCCAACGGGTGACGTGGAGACAGCAGTGATGGGAACCTTCTTTCCACTCAAATTTGGTGTCAGCAGCATTACATAAAATGCATTTTGCTCCAGCCCTTCCTCCTCTCCCCATGTGCTGGTGGAACCTGGCCGCTTCCATTCCACGCTCCCAGTGAAATCGCTGTGTTTCAATTAGCAGGACTCTGGCACACATCCGTGCCTGGCTAATTGCTATGATTTGCTGCAAAGGGAACTTTGGGGCTGATCGATGAACTAGAGAGTGTTTAATTAAGAGGGAGCCCTAAAACTCGTTGCATTGATCAGCTGCAGGATTATCTTAATTAGCAGTGGGCTGGTGCATGGCAGCTTTGCCCCACGCCCCCAATAGCATCACTTATGGTTGTGATGGGCGATGGGGTGCCAACGGGGTGCTATTAGCACAGGAAATTGGGGCCTGGCTCCGTGGGATGCTCTTGGATGCTCTTTCCATCTCCTGTTGGTATCCAGCAAGTAGGGGTCCTGCTCAGCAGCTCCGTCACCAGCCACCAGATCGATGGATGGCTATAAAACCCCGAGCGCCACGCTCCTTGTATCATTTATTATTTACATTCCTCGATTTAAAAGATTTACAGCCCAGTTGTAAGTATTTCCAAAGGCTGTTTCCTTAGAGAGTTTAAATAGCGCGGGAGTGAATTAAGGCTTAATGCAAACAGCCTGGCCCGAGGGGCTGCGCGGGCTCCGTGCTCACTCTGTGTCGCGTGTGATGGAGATGGGAGGGCTTTGCTCTGCCGGCTGAAATCTCCATTAATTAGAGCTCTCGCTAAACCAACTCAATGAGCTGTAATGTGAACGATGCTTTATGGATGGGGAAATGGGCCCAACAGACCTAGTACGAGCCCACTGCCCTCCTGCCAGCAGTCAGCCACAGCCAGGGCCCTAAAGGATCCGATGCCCTAAAAGGAGGGCATTGCACAGAGCTCAGGCCCAGGGGGTGATGCTCAGTGGGGAAACTGAGGCACACAGGGGATGGGCTCACAGCTCTGTGCTGCACTTCCTCCATTGTTGGGCAGGAGTGTTCCCAGTAACTCTCATGATGTATTCGCCCACCGCCGGCCGATGAATCATGCAGACATTTCAGTCTATTGTAACTTATTGTCCATGGGATTTCTCATTAATTACGCGATACTCTTTGCCTTTAATGTCCACAGAGCTGCCGCGGTGACTGATCCCCGCGCTGTCCCCTCCTTTGTTCTTTCCCAGATCGCGGCGCTGGAGCGGCAGATCTTTGATTTCCTGGGCTATCAGTGGGCGCCCATCCTCGCCAATTTTTTACACATCATGGCTGTCATCCTGGGCATCTTCGGGACCATCCAGTACAGATCCAAATACCTCATCATGGTAGGTATTGCTGGGCCACGGTCACTGTGCAGTGCCAGGTGTCCCAGATCCCTGCTATGAGGTTGCTGGGGGCTGGGAAGTGGGCTGGCAGCAGGATGCTCGTGGTGCTGGCGCAGCACTGATTGGCTGCTCTCTCTGACAGTACGCGGTGTGGCTGGTGCTGTGGGTCGGCTGGAACGCCTTCATCATCTGCTTCTACCTGGAGGTTGGGCACTTGTCGCAGGTAACCACAGGCTTCCACAGCACAGCCAGGCACTGCTGCCTCTTTGCCTTCCCTTCCCTTCCCTTCCCTTCCCTTCCCTTCCCTTCCCTTCCCTTCCCTTCCCTTCCCTTCCCTTCCCTTCCCTTCCCTCTCCATCCCTCTCCATCCCTCTCCATCCCTCCCTATCCATCTCTTCTGTTCAGTCCTATCCTTTTCATCACAACCTTTCCATTCCATTCCTTTCATCCAGTTCCATCTCTTCCATCCCATCTTTCCCCATCCCATCCCATTCCATCCTTCCTTTCTCTTCCATCCCAACCCTTCTCTTCTATCCCATCCTTTCTCTTCCATCTTCTTTCCTTCCCCCCCACCCATTCAAAACTTTCAATTCGTTCCACCCAACCCTTTCATCCCATTCCTTCTGTCCCTCTCCATCCCTTCCATCTCTCCCCTTTCATTTTTTTTCTGCCCCACCCCAATCCTTCCATTCCATTCTTTTCATTCAATTCCATTCCTCCCCATTACATCCCTTCAATTCCTTCCTTCCCCATCCCATCCCTTTGCTTTCATCCCATCCCTTCTCATCTCATGCCTTTTATTCTGTCCTATTCCATCCTTCTCATTCTTTCATCTCTTTCATCCCATTCCTCTTCATCTCATGCCTTCTGTTCCATCCTATCCCATTCCATCCTTCTCATTCTTTCATCTCTTTCATCACATTCCTCTTCATCTCGTGCCTTCTGTTCCATCCTATCCCATTCCATCCTTCCCACTCTTTCCATCTCTTCCATTCCATCCCTTCCCATTCATCTCATTGTTCCCCATCTCATTTCTTCTCTTTCATTCTATCCATCCCCACCTCTTCTTGTCATGTAACTTCACATGGGACAGGCTGATGGATGGCACTGGGTACAGCAATGGGTAGGAAAAGCAACACAGTGGTGTGGTGGAGGCAGAGTTTCAAGAGCTCCAAATTAATGAGGCTGATGAGCTGGGAATTTCAGGGCACTCATTAATCACCTGCTGGCACTTAGCACTGTCTGGCTTTATGGATGGTGTAAATTGGGCAACACAATTTCTGAATGCAGTGAGGAGATCAAGCAGAGAAAGCTCTTCATCTCTCTGCTTGCATTGTGCTGTGAGTTCCCACTTTCCCAGGGGTCTCTGGGGGTTTTCTGGGGTCTGTGTCTGCTCTAGGGAAAACGACTGAAGGATATCCTGGAGACCCTGAGCTCCAGGGATACACAAGGAGGTACAGGTCTGGAGATACCAAAGGTTGCTGGAAATACTGCAGGGCACTCAGCCCAAACCTGATTTGTTATATTATGGCTCTTACATGAAAAGAGTGTTGTGATGTAGTTGTGTTGTCATGAAGTGTGTCAGTGTTGTCATGAAGTGTAGTGGAGACATCTGCATGAAAGCGAACCCCCATTGTTTGGCTTTAGGAACTCAAACCCTCCATGAGCCCAAGCCCCGTGCTCCTGTTTGCATTAAATTTCAGCCCAGCACTGTGCATGCCCGCTGCTGGGATGTGTGTCCGTAGCCCCAGTGAACGCTGGGGATGTCACGGGCTGTAGAGATGAGTGGTTAATTGGGTACTCTTCATTAACACATCCACCAGTGCTGACCTGTCCTTGGTGCTGGTGGGGGAAGCGCAGTGTCGGCGTGGCTTTGCAGCAGGGATGGTGCTTGTGGAGCATCCTTGGGATGGGAAAAACCATTTTTTGTCTACATCTTTATGAGCCTGGATGGGATCCCCGGATCCAAGGTCGGTGCCTCTGCTCCCCTCCTGCAGGACCGAGACTTTATCATGACCTTCAATACCTCCCTGCACCGCTCGTGGTGGATGGAGAACGGGCCGGGCTGCCTGGTGACGCCGGTGCTCAACTCCCGGCTGGCGCTCGAGGATCACCACGTCATCACAGTCAGCGGCTGCCTGCTGGACTACCAATACATCGAGGTGCTCAGCAGTGCTGCACAGATCTTCCTGGCGGTAAGGGACTGCTGGGGTGTCCCACTGCCTTGACATGACATATCTCAGTGCGTGGGTTGCATTGTTGGGTCATGGGTGGCATTGGCTTTGCTTGGGTGCTTTGGAAGAGGAGCAAACAGAGCACATATGAGGTCCCCGTGTATGCTTGCTTCCCCAAAATGTGGCTTCATCCCATCCTCATCATTGCTCTCCTCGTGGTGCTGCTTGCTCCCATAACAGCCTCTCCCTGCCCGCTTTTATTTTGCAGCTCTTCGGCTTCGTCTACGCCTGCTATGTCAGCAAAGTGTTTCTGGAGGAAGAAGACAGCTGTGAGTGCCTTTGCTATTAGTCACAGGGCGAGCTGTAGTGCTGCAAATCCATCCCAGATAACATAGGGCAAGGGCAGCTCTGGGCTAGGGTAGGAGAAAGGATCACTTCTTTGGGATTTGGCCCCATTTTTCCCTTCTCAAGGAGGCAGCTGTGCAGCTTTGGGATGTGATGTGCCACCCCATGCCACCAGCAGTCCCTGTAGCACACCCCTTGGGTGCTGTAGGGTGGCAGCAGTCACAGCCTTGGGGTGTGAAATGGGACCAGTGTCTCCCAATGGGGTTTCACTCATCATTGGATGGAGCCTCCCCCCATCCACAATGCTCCCTGAGCAGGGGCAGAAGGGAAAAATTAAGTGAAAACGCAGGCTAATTTTTCTGCACTCTACATTGCGCTTTGACAATAATCACTGCACCCACCCATACAGAAGGTCTAAGTACCCCAACAGCAATTAAACAGGCAGTTATGGCTGCAGCCATCCGCCACATTAAATGCTCATCTGCCATTAATTAATTCATGCCAGCTGGCAGCCCAAGCAGCCGCGCAGAGGTAGTGAAGTGCTGCAGCTTCCAACATTGCAAAGGCACTGAGAAGCACTCAGCATCCCCCCTTGTCTTGGGAAGAATGCATCTGGGTTGACAATGGATGCATGGTCCTTTGGTGGTTCTGGATCCCAGCACAGCACTGGGGACAGCCCAGGGGAGCTGTGGGATCCCAGACCAGGCTCAGCATCCCTACGTCTGGCTTTAGTAGCTCTGTGTCCAATTTTAGCATCCCTGGGACCACTCTCAGAATCCCTAGGTCTGGTTTTAGCATCTGTAGGTCTGGTTTTAGCATCCCTGGGACCACTCTCAGCATCCCTACGTCCAATTTCAGCATTCCTGGGACCAGGCTCAGCATCCCCTGGATCAGTCTCAGCATCCCTAGGACCAGACTGACACCCCTAGGAATGGTCTCAGCATCCTCAGGGCGTGTTCTCCCCACCGCTGCCTCTGTATCCACTGTAGCGGAAAGGAAAAATCTCCGTGTGAAATTGGACACTGCCTGTTGTAATAACTTGCTTATGGAGACGGGGATCTGGTGAAGGGTTTATCTGCCCGCGCTGTCTTTGAAGCGTGTTTGCATTCCAGGCGGTTGTGCGACAGTCCAACAAATTCAGGCATTCAATACACTTTTAATATTCATGCTGCTGTAGCCAAGATTCGAATGCATCTTTTTAATGGAATATCTTATTAGATTTGGAAATGGATGGGTGCCGTCAAGATGGAGAGCTGGCTGAATATTATGTCAGCTTCACGGGGGGGTCAGGGGGCAGCCCTTTGTGCCTTCCTTGCTCACCCTGCTGCTCTCCTCTCTCCCCAGTTGATTTCATCGGTGGGTTTGATTCCTATGGTTACCAGGCGCCGCAGAAGACGTCGCACCTACAGCTACAGCCACTGTACACGTGAGTCCATCCGGGGATGCTGTGGGAGCCCCATAAGGCCACTGAACCCAAAGGATCTGGGGCTGTGTGGCTGCTCGGCCCCATTGGAGAGGAGTTTTTGGGTGGTTCTGTCACACTGAGCCGTGGCTGATAAGCGCCGGTGGCTTCTCTCCTCTCCCTGCCCATTAAGCTTAACTAGATAAACGCTCAAACGAGATAAGGCTGCAAAATCTAAAGGGATTAGCCTCATTTGGGCTTTGCTGGTTGCCAACAATTAATTATATTTTAAGACTTGTATGCAAATTCAAGGGCATGCCATGCAATTATGTATGCAAAGAGGGGATTGTGGGGAAACAAATGCATCCAGAATAATACCAGCACCCACTAAACTGGGAGTCTGCATGGCTCCTGTTCCCCTGCAGCCCATCATCTGGGGGCATGGTGTCCCCTGCATGGTTCCTGCAACAGTGATGATTGCTCAGGTTTGCCTTTGTGGGGCAAATAGAGCTCAGTAGGATTCCCTTTGCAGTGGTTGGGGTGGGAGAAATTGGGGAGAAAGGGTTAATTTGAAGATGAATCCATCCTGCCCACAGCCTGTGAAACTGAAGCTTCCCTGGCAGTTCCCAATTAGCTGTAATTGGATTAAAGCCGGGCGTGTGGGAGGGCTTCCACCCAGAGGAAGAAGGAGGATGTGCACGTCTCACACCATGGCCCACCCAGCGTGGCACTGTTTCCCCACGTCCCCACATCCCTGTGTTCCCACTGTGGGTTCTGGGTGGGCACTGAGCCCTCAGTGCCCCACAGGAAGCTGGGGAGAGGGGCAGCCTCAATAGGGAACCTCATGCCACCCTGAAGGAACATGGCCCGATCTGTCCCATGCTGCTTTGTCTTATTTTTGGTTGTGAAATGAGGGTGATGTGCAGCCCAGCAGATGCCTGTCCCCACAGATGGGTGCTTGTGGCCATCACTCCTTGCCCCCTCACTCTACATCAGAGGGGACAGATGGGGACACACAGGGACCAGCCCTGATTTCAGCTCTTCCTTTCACTCCTCAGGTCTGGGTAACTCCGTGCCCTGAATCCACCCTGGCCAGCGTGGGACTGGACCCCTCGGAGCCCCCTGTCCCCAACTCGATGCCATTGCCACTTTTGGGAGACAGGGACAGCACCAAGCCGCCTCCCTCTGTTCTCCTCTTGCTCCCCAAAAATGAAGTTGAGTTGGGCATGGTCACGTCCAAGGGCTCCATCATCTGGTTGGCTTCCAGTGCAAGGCTACCATGGCCAGGTCATCTCCAGTTCACCTGCAAAAGACCCAAGGAAACTCTCAGTGCTGTGCTCGAGCCCCAGGATGGGCCAGCGCAGTAGGGATGCAGCGAAGACATGGGGATGCAGCAGGACGTGGGGACGTGGTGGGGATGTGGGCTCGGTCACTGGACACTTTTCTTCTGTTTCTCAGACTTGGTTTTTAATTTGAGCAGCGTGTCTTCTTCCTGTGAGCTGGGCGGAATGAAGCACAGAGGGAATTCAGGACAAAACCCAGCCTGTTTGGAGCAACTCAGGCCTGTGGGGGATAACTGCAGCTTGGTGGGGTTGACACACCTGTGGCATCATTGGAGAACATTCTAAAGCGCCAGATTTGGAGTCGGGATGGCACAAAGAAGGGGTTTTGTTCCTAGAAAGCCCCCACTGTCTTACCAGGGGACCGGAGCTGTGCTGCTCATTGTCCCCACACCGCAGGACCAGCACCCCACAGCCACCCCACATTTTGGGATTCCATCCCCACCATCGGAACTCTTCAATTTGGCAATACTGACGCTGCTCTCAACGCAGCCCTTTCAGGCTGTTTTAATGAATATAATGAATGTTTTAGGTTGGTTTTTATTTTATTCTATTCTATTTTAATTTGAAGTGCCTGAGTACACTTTTGTTGAGCATCAGCCCCACTCCTCACACATTCTTCCTCCTCCTCCTCCCAAGGCCGTGTTGTGCCTTCAGCGAAGGCTGGCAGTGCCCACTGCCTCCCTTGGGCTTCTGGGGGTAAATCCATTCTTTCTGAATGGCCCAAATGGGGGCATTCATTTTGGCAGCAAAAAAAAAAAAAAATGATGAGTGATGAGTTGGGAGATGGGAATGGTTTTGGTGGGAGGTGAGGTGTGAGCTCCTGGGGTGTGGTTGCAAATGATATCCATGGAAAATGAAGAGTTGGGAATACGAAGTGTTGGAACAACCTGCAAACAAACTTCACTTCAAGAAGTTGTGGGTCAGCGATGTACTCTGGGTTCATTCTCCTTTTTCCCAGCCTGCAGCACAGAGGTGAGTTGGGGTCAACCCTAGACCTCCTATGATTTGTCCCCAGATGTCCCTGTTCCCTGGACACCTTTGGCTACGAATGGGGGCTGCTCCAGCTCTGCCTCCCCAGGGCTGCTCCTCCAGGATGGGCTCTTCCAGCAACCCCAGAGCAGATTTTCCCTTCCCACCAAGTGCCAAAGGATGGAGCCCAACAGGAAATGCTGCCCAATCCCATATCCTCAGGTGGGCTACATCCCTCCACCATCATCACCAACTCACCCCAGCCTGAGCGGGAGCTTTGCAGGCAATAATTCTGAGCCCTTTTCCCCCCCCATCTCTGAGAAATAAAGCGATTTCCAGGCAGCAGAGCCCGCCTCCAGCATCGACCCCATCCACCTGTCCCCAGAACCACATCCCAGTGCTGGTGACCCTGGGGGACAGCAGAGGGGCAGAGGGCACGGTCCCGCTGTCGCCGGTGCTCTGTGATCTTTTTTCTGTTGGCTTGTTTTTTTATAAGACCGTCTTTGTAACGTGAACCGAGGATTTCTTTTCTATTCTGTAATTATAAAAGTGGAAGGAGTTTTCACCCGATGCCTGCTCTGGTTTTGTGTATTTCCATTCTTTGTGTGGTGGAATCAATTAAAAAGTTGTGGTTTTTCACTTTTTTTTTTTTTTTTCCCCCTCTAAGAAAAAGTTTCCAGCTCACTCCTGAGCTCCCCTCCCCTTATTTTTGGTGCCTCACACCAGAAAACCAACACCTGCAGGACTCAGCGCTGGCACTGCTGCTCGATAAACAGCAGGCAGTGTGTCTGTGCCATGTCACAGCCTGGCTTCTGCACAGAGGTGGCCAAAAGTTATCTTCTCCTCTTTATTCTTCCTCTTTTTCACTTTCTTCCCCTTCTTCTTTTCTTCCTTCCCCTTCTTCATCTCCTTCGTCTTCTTTACCATCTCCTCCTCCTCCTCCTCATCCTTCTTTTAGGACAAGAGGTAATGGCCTTATGTTTTTCCATGGGATGTTCAGGTTGGATATTAGGAACAATTTCCTAATTTCCTAAGAGTGGTGCTGCATTGGCACAGGCTGCCAAGGGACCGTCCCTGGAGGTGATCCAGAACCATGGGGATGTGGCACTGAGGGATGTGGCCAGTGAGCATGGTGGAGATGGGTCAATGACTGGTGATCTTAGAGGTCTCTTCCAACCTTTCCTCGTATAAGATTCCAAGATTCTTCTTCCCCTTTTTCATCTAGTTTGTCTTCTTCATCTCCTTTGTTTCCTTCATCTCCATCTTTTCCCTCCACATCTTTGTTAGTAACACATAGGAACTTAGTATTAATAACAAGAATTAATTCTTACTGTTAATAAGAAGCATTAACAAACACTTGTCCCCATCAGGATCTGGGAGCAATATTTTGGGAGCAATTCTTTGCCAGAATATTCCCCCTCTCCATCACTGAAGTAGAAATTTGAACCTGGTCCATGCTTGAAGCACGCGATGAGGTTCCAAGCCATTTTGACTGCTCTATTTTATTTTATTTCACTAATTGTACATGTTCAGACTTCATTTGATTTCTCTCCCTTTTCCCACAAAATGGGAGAAGGAATTGGGCAATGCCATTGTGCTAACTCTGTGCAGTGATCCTTAGTCCTGCCCTGTCCCCAGCCGGGATGTGACATGGACACGGTCTGGTTCCCAATGGCCCCAGGTGTCCCTGTAACATTTGGTCACCCTCACATCCCATTGACTGAAGGCTCCAGCAAGGGATCCAAGCTGATGAACACATGAAAAATTAAATCATTGCTAGAAATGCTTCTCAAAGAGCATCTCCTACCTGTCCTACCCCACGTACTTGGGCACCAGGTCATCCGACCAACAAAGTGAGGTAGTTTGGTAGAAAAGTGTGACCGTATGTGTTGAGCCTGCAGAAAGAGAAAATGGGAGGGGATAAAGAATGGAGCGTGATGGGGAACACAGGGGTACCTCGTCCTGCTTGTGTGCCCAGATAAGTTTTGGCAGATCCAAGGTGACAGCGATGAGCAGAGTCTGAATGATAGAAATGCGTGAGTTAATCAAGCGTTTTCCAATTAAACTCATCAGGGCTGAGTGGGGGCATTTGCACAGTTTCTGTAGTCACAACATTCACTTTCTCTTATCTGACATATCCAGTGGCCTTTGGAGAAACTAACTGTTGTGTGATAAGAATCACGGAATCATTGAGGTTGGAAAGGAACTCTAATCTAAGACCATCGTGTCCAACCCCAGCCCATCCCACCGTGCCCACTGACCACATCTTCACAGTTCTTGAACACCTCCAGGGACGGTGACTCCACCACTACCTGGGCAGTGGGGATGGGAACGTGCACGGAGAACATCCCTGCAGTGCAGAAAAAGAAATAATGTCCTCAGGAGGCTGCTTTAAAGCCATACAAACCACCCCGGCTGGGGGGAAAGCTGCATTTCTGGGCTTTGGTATATGCTCAGGGCGTTTCAGGAGGAAGGAAGGACTGGAGTTGGCTTTGAAGGCAGTGAGTTGCATTTGCTTGGGGTTGGAAATTTGAAGTGTGTCTGCACCCAAGGCGAAGTGATACAGGGACAGCAAAACAGCACCTAGGTTAATTCTGCTGCAAAAAGGGAAAGTGATAAGAAAACTCATAGCCATGCCCCATGTTGTGGGGCCCACAGGGCTGTGACTCCCCATAGCACAAGCTCCCATATATCACAACTGTGAGTCCCCTGGAAG